CCTTGTGTGTTGTGAGATCCTGTAGTCTTGTAGGTGTATATCAACGTTTCGAAGCAGCATGTTGCTTCTATCTTCAGGGTCAATCCTGAAGATAAACGCAGCATATTCCCACCAAAAATTGATACATTTATCTACAAAACTATATGGTGTCACAGCTCAGAAGACCACAGTGTGAACGATCACTAAACCTCATAACTTACAAAGTGATCTGCCTTCATCCTGGATTTTCATTGTACCATCTAAAGGATATTATCTCGTGTGCACTGGTATCGTGAAGTTACACCCACAATTTGTTCTTTCACCTTTCCGTGTACCTGAACTAGGGGCTATTACAGACCTACGTACCCGTTATTTCCTCTCATGTCCTCGTCGTGACAATAGGATTAGAAAACCCCCGTAGCAAGGTGATGCAAGTTTCGCTGTAACTTGTGGTGACCAACCTGGTGAGAGGAGATGACGTTAGGCTGGGTGGGGGCATCATAGTGACGTCCATTTACGTGTGGCTTCGTCAGTGTAGTGGATCGGCTCCACTCTTCGGTTGGACGGCTGTTGCAAGGTACTTATCTCGCCTCCTACTATCTTCTACGTGCCTTGTGCTCAAACAAACACAGAGTAATAACACAATTAACCGTTTCAAGTACAATGTTTACTACATGTACCAATTACTTTAACGTTAAAAAAAAGGCGTTCTGTTCACAGAGTGTATTTATGAGTTTCCTGTGGTTTGGAGAATAAAGAGAGAGAGAGGGAGAGACAGACAGTACACACATTAAAAGTTGATTGTCCTACTGGTTCTGCAATATTATTCTGTGAGGTAGGAAATGAATTTTTAAGTATAGTATTATGTAGGATGGGCGTGAAACTTGGTATCTGACATTAAGGGAGGAATATAGACTGAGGGTGTTTGAGAACAGGGTCTTGAGGAGAATATTTTGACCGAAGAGGGATGAAATGACGGGAGGTTGGAGAAAACTGCATAAAGAGGAGCTTTATAACTTGTACTCTTCTCTAAGTATAATTAGAATGAACAAGTCAAGGAGGATGAGGTGGGCAGGGCATGTAGCACGAATGGGGAGAAGAGAAATACATATAGGATATTGGTGGGAAAGCCAGAAGGAAAGAGACCATTGGGAAGATGAAGACGTAGGTGGGTGGACAATATTAAAATGGATCTTAGAGAGATAGGATGCTATGGTATGGATTGGGTTGATCTGGCTCAGGATATGAACCACTGGAGAGCTCTTGTGAACACGGTAATGAACTTTCGGGTTCCATAAAATGCTGGTAAATTCTTGAGTAGCTGCATATTTGGCTTCTCCTCAAGAAGGGCTCAGCTCCATAAGTAAGTAAGTGTTATATAGGTGATGTCATGCCACAAAAGACTGAGAGAGTAATGTTCTTTATACATAATTTGTACAGCTTTGATAGGCCTCTGCCTGTAACATTTTTCGAACAAGCCTTTGTCACATGCAATGTGTCAATGTAGACTACGTTTATTGATTGCTTTTGATAAATGTTAGTTTCACAAATAAATAATTTAATCGTGTGGTTAATCGTGCGATATGAAAGAGTATTCATAGTTTGGCCTTACGTGGACAGCCTATGGTTGTCTCAACACCTCATTAGTTTATGGCTCATTTTAATGGCACTCGATGAGTAAGTATTATTACGAAGCTCAAAGATTTTTGGGTCAGAATGATGTTGAAATGTATGATATAAATTCTAGATACCGTGCTTCTAACTTTCATTTCTGAGGAACAGACTTACGCTTTTGAATACCGCTCGAAAGACAAAAGCGACCAGTTACAGGTATATCTAATAAAGCATACTTTTCTACTGCAGACTTACAGCCCTACATACATTTTGTTATTAATATACAAATTTGTAATATAACAATGTGTGATTCTGTTGGCTGGAAAGGTGCTGAATTTCACCTTCATGCTCTTCAAATAATGACTGAACTGTTCCAGCTGTGTGAATGGACGCATTGTCGTCTTGAAAAACTGCATCGTCGTTCGGAAATAACATCTGGACCATGGGATGCACCTAATTACCCAATCTGTCCACGTACTCCCTTGAAGTAATTCGGCCATGAAGGTTTATAACGGGACCAACAGAATACTGTACCACGGCAATACTGCCCAAACCATCACAGAACCTCCCACGTGTTTCACTGTTGGAAGCAGGGATTACGGACTGTAGGCTTTCTTGGGTGCTCTCCAAATGCAAAGTCTTCCTGATGCAGGGAACAGCGTGAAGTAAGACTCATCTGACTACTATATCACGCGTGCGTTTCCAGTTGTCTGATGCCCAGGTTTTATTGTCGTGACACCATCGTTTATGCATCTGAGCATTGCTTTCAGTAATCAGAGGTTTAGCAATTGCAGCCCTACTGTGGATGTTGGATTTGTGAAACTCATGTCGGACATTTCTGTGGAAACAGGGTCTTCAAGATGAATATTCAGTTCTGCTGTCATCGTTGCTGCAGTAGTTGGGCGATTTTTAGATAAAAGCCTTCTCAATATACAATCATCTTTTTCTATCAATGTTGACTTTCGTCCACTGTTCTTCTTCGCTGATATTGTCTTCTCATGATTCGTGTATGCCGCCGACATAACCTTAGAAACTGTCGCTCTGGATACGCCTAATAATGTTGCAGTTTTTGTCACAGATACTCCAGCTAAACGCGCACTAACGATCTGTCTTCTTTCAAAATCGGGCAAGCCTCAAATTTTCCGATTCTATCACACAGACTTTCAATCAACACAATCATAACTCACCGACATTAGCACTACAGATTGTAAACAGACGGAACAATATATTCAGCGTTGTCAACTTAAGTTTTATGTTTCCAGCACAAACAAATTCTGTTTCTCAATTTCTTACTGTTTCCTTTATTTTCTCCACCCTTTGTATATTCTGACCTACAAATAATTTGAGAATTACAATTGGCATAAGATTCATAGAGCCGGTATAGCACAGTCGGTATAGCGACTGGTTACGGGTGGACGAACAAGGAGTCGGGGTTCGAGTCCCGGTGGGGCCCACCCAGCCTCTAATCTAATGGGTACCGGGGGCTCTTTCCCCGGAAGATAAAGCGGCCGGGGCGTGAAGCAGACTGTTATAGTTCTTGTGTTAAAATCCAATGCCAGGAAACGGATAGTGAGACTATAATAGACTGAGGACACTAATGTGTGTAACAGTGAACTGTAAATTGTGGAAATAGCTATAGTGTTATAGTTGTTGGTGGTACGACCTGTAAGTGGTCAATAAATCCAACAATCCAAATTCCCGACTATGTTGACGCACGCATCTCAAATGTGACAATATACTTCTCTTTACGTTCATCCACTCTTCTACCTGATAAGTAGGCCTGACCTGAATGAAGCGACCGGAATTCAATTTAATTCCTAGGTCAAAAGTATGTGAAGATTTGCTTCTTCTTCCCTATACTCCTTCATACTGTGGTATTTAATCAAATGGACAACTTCACTCATGACGGACTCTTATTCCTTAGGCCTCCAGTGACACGGGAAAGTAAAGGAAAGCCGTCACACATTCGTTTCCGGAACGGTCTTTGAACTTCCTATGTCAGTGCTTGATCAGCCAGAGACTATTAGCACATTCGACAATCCCGGCACCGAGGACTGCTGAATGGTTAGTTTCTCATAGCAGCCTCATCTTCGGTGTAACTGGAGATGCTCATTAATTGATGCAGCAGTAACTCTGTATACTTGTGTTTGGGATATGTCCATTTCGAATCTCATTCGGAGTACCAGCTATCATGACTCATTTCTTTGTTTTCGTTAGTCCTCTGAGGAGGGAGATGGGATCGTAACTTTAAGTAGGCCACAACCGCGCATCTCCAAAATTCTTGTCTGAACTCCATAATCAGTCTCTCGACTCATTCGAAAAAGTATAACCTCTGCAGATGAATTTGTATTTATTTGTTTCCTAAACGACACTTTTAGTAAATTAGAAAGNGCTGAATGGTTAGTTTCTCATAGCAGCCTCATCTTCGGTGTAACTGGAGATGCTCATTAATTGATGCAGCAGTAACTCTGTATACTTGTGTTTGGGAGATGTCCATTTCGAATCTCATTCGGAGTACCAGCTATCATGACTCATTTCTTTGTTTTCGTTAGTCCTCTGAGGAGGGAGATGGGATCGTAACTTTAAGTAGGCCACAACCGCGCATCTCCAAAATTCTTGTCTGAACTCCATAATCAGTCTCTCGACTCATTCGAAAAAGTATAACCTCTGCAGATGAATTTGTATTTATTTCTTTCCTAAACGACACTTTTAGTAAATCAAAAATGCATAGTATCGAATGATGGGATCATTAACGAGCAACGAATTAGAAAACATGTAGAAGGAAGCGGAAATGGCATAGTTTGAGACAGGGTCCTGACACTTCCCTGGTGAGACTGGGAAAAACCTGGGACCTTGTGAATAGGATTCAGGAGTATTACTCACGCCATCGCTGCAGTTTATCTCTGCGGTTGAAACCGTTATCAATTTAATTAAGGGGCAGTCACTCTTATTGAAATTACGGATATGAGAAAGATATTTCCACGTCACATTTCGAGCTGTGTAACTTACTGTATAATGTCTGTTTTTCACTCTTGGTCTAAGTGCTTTTCCATTGTGTCATTATGTGTAACGGTTATGTGTCTATACACGCATTGAGGTCACTTCTCTAATTTTTAACGGTTCATTCTTTAAAGTTTAGAGTATTTAGGTAACTGCAACAGAAGGAATCGTCCTTTGTTTACCCATTCACTAGAGAGTAACAAGGCCATTATTGAGGCAACATGTCATCTCTTTTCTTAGAAATATGGCGAACCGGACACCTACAGATTTTTATTATGTAGGCGATTACTTGAATCGTAGTCCGTTCAGCACCTGTACTGACACCCATGCGAAGTTCAGACAAGAGAAAGACGACATTAGTTCAGTCAGTTCCCTTGCTTCAGCTCAGATCGGCATGTGTTCTACAGGAACGAGAGTAGAAACTGCTCGAATATAGGTCCAGAGGTCGACCATTCTGGACAAATGAAATTAGTGCAGTTTGCATCGTTCTCAAATCCACATAGAAGTTAAGAGCTGAAGGCTATCTATCAAATGTGCAGCACTAATAACCAGTTAGCTGATTGCCTAGTACTGGAGCAACTGGAGTAGACTATCATCATTTCATATTGGTAAGTTCTCATGTAAATCTGACACCAGCAACAAAAGTTTACCATTCATGTGCTTTGGGAGAGGGGAAAATATGTTGGTAGTATTTAAGTTTAGATGAAGTGACGGGAGGTTGGAGAAAAGTGCATAATGAGGAGCTTCATAACTTGTACTCTTCTCCAAGTATAATTAGAATGATGAAGTTAAGGAGAATGAAATGGGCAGGGCATGTAGCACGAATGGGAGAGAAGAGGAATGGATATAGGATACTGGTGGGAAAGCCAGAAGGAAAGAGACCACTGGGGAGACCAAGATGTAGGTGGGTGAACAATATTAAAATGGATCTTAGAGAGATAGGATGGGGTGGTATGGATTGAATTGATCTGGCTCAGGATAGGGACCAGTGGAGGGCTCTAGTGAACACAGTAATGAACGTTCGGGTTGCATAAAATATTGAGAAGTTCTTGAGTGGCTGCACAATTAGCAGCTTCTCAAGAAGTGCTCAGCTCCATGAGAGAGCATTTCAGTTTCGTCTGAAGTAGGAGCTACTTCAACCACCACAGACAAAAACTAAATCAAACAGGTAATTACAAACAGGTAATTGTTTGTGTGGGAGCCCTTCTTCATGCAACGGAAGTATATGATAGTTATGGAAACAAGCGAAACCCAAACCCGTAAATTGTACTACAACGAAATACATTTGGATTTGAACAAGTTTCATGAAAACTGGTTCAGGCATTCGAAAGTTGATAAGGTGGATACACACACATAAAGAAAGGATGGAAAGTAGGCTAAAAATATCATTTTAACATTTAATATTGTACGTTGGTGACCAGGACAACTTTACCATTCTTCGGAGACAGGTTTTTCCGTATCAGTTTCCTTTTACATATGATGATTTACGTGCCTATATAAATACACACACGCACACGAGTTATTCTGTGTGACTTCAGGATCAGTGATACAAAGAGCGCCCTTCTACCACAAACAAGGGTTAGCAGGGTGTGAGTATCTTCGTGTGTGTGTCTTAATGGAGCGTGGTCTCTGGTTACGCCCCTGTTGCTTCAAAGTTTCCAAACATTTCCTCCACTGTACTCTTCGTGGAGTCACGGAGAAGCCTACATCAGAAAAATGCACATGCGCGATAAGGCCAAATTTTCGTATTTTTTTTAAACTGAATTAATACTAAAAATTTGAACGGCTTATATATTTTATTGTTAAAAATTTCGTTAAATTTAACTCACTTTGGACGCAGTATGGCTGGAAACATGGAGCGTTAAAACAATGACGACGGTACAAATGATGATGTATTTTTAACCCCGCTACGGAGGACGTCATTACTCTGGACTATTCACGTACTTAACTCACTGAATGGCGTAGGTCTTTCTTAAAACCTCAAATACTCAGCTGCTCAAGAAATGCCCTGCTTTATGGAAACAGAAGCAGCCAGCGTGCAGGAAATAATACGACGGCGGCCATGTCAATATACAGTAGACTCCGAGCGCTGTCTCCATGCCTACTGCCAGAACGAAAAGATAACTTGGCATGACGTGGCCTGGCTTGGCTCTTCTTGTGGAAACCGACTGCGCGGCATTTCGAGAGCGTCGCTTCTGGGCCAGTATTCCTTGCTTATCGAAGATTCATTGCCATTTTCACAGAAGTGCGTCACTGAGGCCTCTGCTGAACCGGTTCAATTTAATCCATCCCCTCACATATCCTTCCAATAAAATTCGTTTTAATATTATCCTCCAGTGTATATCTTCCCCATGGTCTCTTACCTTTAGGAATTCCGGTGAATATATATGTTTATGCCTTTGTCAGCTTCCTATAGCATTCTACATGCCCTGCCCATCAAACACTATGTAGTTTAATCACTCTAATAATATTTAGTAAAGCGCTATTAAGCTCATTATTATGTAATGTTATCCGTAATCCCTCTGCTCTTTTTTCAGTTATCCCCAAATATTTACTTCAGCTACTTCATGTCGAAAGTCCTCAACTGTGTTCATTCCTGACGGTGAGAAATCAGGTTTCACATCCACATATTCAGGAAGTTAAGCTTGAAACATCTGCATGAGGACCTCATGTTACAACCTGGGGGACTTTAAAGAATAATTCCATGGAGTGGAAATAACACGTTTCTGTCTAGCAAGATTGTCTATCCACACCCAGTGGGCCTACATTAGCAGTCTGTTGTTGACACAGTTTATCCACAATGCGTATTAGCGCCGTAAATTATAGAGTATACCTCCTGGGACCGATAAATAGATGGCACGTAGGTATTAAATTACACAGTCGTAAAACGTTTTCCAGTATATTTTCTTAAATAGTACTCGAACAAACTTAAAAAGAGTTTAGAATAAAGGTCTCAGATCTTTGTAAGATTTGAGGCTTTCACGGCGGTGACTATGAAGAAAGCAGTCTTCTGGGATTTGGCACCGTGTATATGTGGTGTTAACCGACGTTTCGGAAGAACGTATCGCCTCCATCTTCAGGGTAGAATGAAAAATATAAGAAATCCACAAGCGAAGAGACGGTCTCTTCGCTTGTGGATTTCTTATATTTTTCCTTCTACCCTGAAGATGGAGGCGATACGTTCTTCCGAAACGTCGGTTAACACCACATATACACGGTGCCAGATCCCAGAAGACTGCTTTCTTCGTCTCAGATCTTAATTATTTCTTGTTCAATTTTGTAGGATAGGAGGTTTCTGGATAAAAGTGATAAAGCTTGAGCGAGGCTTTAAAAAATATGGATCTTAAGAGTGGTTCGAGAGGGACTGAAATCGAAATCCACTGTAATTCAGATTCCTAGTATCAGACGCACCTGGTTGAAATTCATTCAGTGGTTTGGGAGATGAAACTCTGTGTGGATGTGATTTCCTCAATGTATTTTTGTTTTCAATTTGTTGCCTTTTCTAAAACAAAATAAGAATTCTGCATTACTGTTTTTAAGTTTTTCTTGTACGAAGTGCTTAAAATGGACATATATTGAAGAGGTAATATATTTTTAGAAACACCTTATTTTTACTTTCTGATTTCCTGGTCATTTTATACACGTTACGCAGAGAACGCTTGAAAGAAACGTTGCGCAAATTTCTTCATGGTTCAAAAGATAATGTGACGAGAGAAGCGTAAAATAAACATATTATCCACAGTTATATGTTGCTGACCTAGTTGCGCCTTGGGCCATGTTGGTGCCAATTAGTGCAATCCACGGACGCATATAAACACAATGCGAAATTAACTTTCATCAATATAAGAAACTGTCCGTTGTAGTGCTATCGCATTCAATGGAGCACATCTCGAATTATTGCCGGTGATTGCAGTCTGTTCCAATTGTTCTAGTCCAGTTAACCATTTAAATCTCCTCTACCAGGGGTGACCAACAGGCGTTCCGTGGTCTCATGTGTCCCAGATTTGCATTCACGTTTATTTTGATGTGATGTGTTGTAACCGTCCAAACCTTTCAATACTCTTTAATGGACGCATGTTCCTTTTCAGCCATTTCAATAGAGTGACTGATTTATAAGGGTGACCCATCCATTAAGAAGTTGACATGCATTTCGCATTTGGACAGGAACAACTTATTTTGATACCTGGACCTTGGGTGACCGTTAGAGGGTCGAGGCAATTATGAAAAGGATATGTTTGTTGTCTGCCCTAAACTAAGACATAAGTGCTTTCACATGTAGGGTCCCGGGTTCAAAATCTCTGGATCTCTTCATTCTCAAAGTTAGTAATGTGATTGTCTTGTACTGATGGTATCATGATTTGGCAGTTAAAATCAGCCATTAGAAGACTATTCTTGTCTGGGAAAGAGGCCGTCGGTTCAAATCCTATACGGTGATGAAGTGACCCTCCCGCAGAATTGAGTGGGAGAGGCACTTGGTGTTCAGAATTCATCAGAGACAGACGTATCGGACTTGGTACTTAGAATTCACCAGAGGCAGACGTCATTTACCTGCTCTCTCTAAGTTTATCTAAATTTAACAGTATTTATTTGGCTCGATTAATCTTTGGCACATTACTCCGCACTTGCCGATAAAGTTATAGTTGACTCTGAAATAAACAATATTGTGATTAAGCAGAAATAGAGTATTTATTTGTATCAGTGGACTAGTTTAAATGTGCAGTCTCCGCGTTGCCCCAGTTATTACCGTGGCACAACCCTGAGAAGAGTCAAAAGTGTTCTACCGAAGCGGGCAAACAAATAAATAAACATAAAGATAGATAGGCAACGGTCATAAGAACTGACGAACAACGGTTGTAAGAAGTGTTCAGGCCGTGTGCGGTTATAGTGTTATGGAACCCAACTGTGATGGGTAAATAATGATGATTGTTGGGCAAGTAAGGATTTGGATTAAATCAGTGGTGCACTATTTGAAGATAAAATTTGTTAACTCCCCTGGAGCGCATGAGAAGAACCACAAAAACATTCAAGATATCCAGTAACCCAGCCGAGATACGAACTGAGTTCCTACTATATAAAATTTAGAGCGTTACTGCAACTCCTGCCTGATCAATAGCAAATCTAATTATACCAGNTTTCCTGGACAGTCTCTTTCCAAAAACAGAAGATCACATTAAGTGGAGGAACTGTTTTGGAAGAGACTGTGGACCTGTCATCTGACAGTTACTGATCAATCAATCAACTATACCTCTTCTGGCTTGCATTTTGGAGGTGCAATCTCCAAAATTATATAGGGTCTGTGTTGGACTTGAGGTTCTCCATAGCAATAACCATGAAAAACGCGATCTTTTGAATTGCAATGTCGTGTAGATTTGTAGGAATCTACCAGAGTTTCTGAGGCAGTTATTGCTTCAATCTACACGGTGAAAGAGAAACCCAAGCAAGAAACCTGGAATAAGCGGTACCGCCTGTTTCTACGAAAATTTCGGAGGAAGGTATTGCTTCCATGGTCAAAGAGCAATCTAAGGAGGAGACAAAGCGGCCTCCGTAGTCTAGAGGTAACGTTCCCACCTCATGACTCGTAGTACGCGGGTTCAAATACCCGGCGGAGGTCGTCGAAATTTTAAGGGCGGAAAAATTCAGGGAACAAGTCCTCCGGGAGGGACTTTAAGCCGTGGGTCCCGTGTCGTAGCTTTACGGCACGTAAAAGAACCTCATATCTCCAAAGGAGGTCACTGAGCCAAATTAACGGACGTTTCCCGCCCAACAGCAGTCTCTAATACCTCTGGTAGATGGGGGAAGCATTATAGATACCTCTCAGCTAGTAGAGCCGGTCTCGCTGGCTGGGCGGGACTGATGGTAAGCACCAGTACCGGTAGGATATAGAGACTGGTAGAAATCATAGAGGAACGCACAATGGACCAATACAGGTCTCAGTGCATGGGGAAACCCACCCTCTCCAATAACTAACCAACTAAGGAGGAGACCAGCAGGAACCAGTGCCGCTTGCTTCTTGGTGATTTCTTCATTGGCTTACTCTTCGTCAGTGCAGGTGGAAGCAATAGTTTCCCCCGAAACGTCGGCAGACTCCTTCAGAACACAACACAAAAGATTATACTCTGTATAGGTTCTATTCGAAATTTCGGTAAACTCAATTTCCGAAATCAATCTGTTCTTTTTCTGAACACAAAGTAGTCCTTCGTGTGTTTCAAATCATGAAAACCTTTTATACGGTGACACAGCTCTTTTAATGTACAGGTAAACACAGGAACGAAATGGAAAGTGTTCAGCCTAAGTCAAACTCTTTTATATCCCAACAAGGAAAGCATGTCTGTTAGTGGTTAGGCAACTAATTCACTTACGTTTCACTGTAAATACCATTTCGTAAATTTTAAGCTTCACGAGGGGGAGATGACGTTTGCACAAGTTTCTGTGTTCTTTTGTTTTAAAATGACTTACGGATTACAGTACTTTCTTTAACAAAGGATTGAGTAACAGAAAATTGAATAAGTTATACGAAGACATTAATAATCTTGGACTAAGTCCTCTCACATACACCAATTCGGAATTATGAAATAGTGAATCATTTTAGACTTAAATGGGCGATGCTCTGCTAACACTGGTCAACATTACAGAAAATCGGGGATTCAATCCTCAGTTCCAGTATTTGAATTGTCCAAGTTCATTTCCGCCGCTCGGTAGGCGTATCTTTGCCATGCTGCATACTTCATTGGCCTTCATGATCACTTCTGCGAAAATATTCCGTGTTTTGAAGCTACTGTCGCTGAGCATTAACTCAACGCCCGCCTACGTCTTTTTTATTGCTAGTGCGGTGGGACTAAGTCCCTTGTACTGCTGCCACTTCTGTCCTATTGTACCAGCCCTAGATGATAGGTGAGGGTGATTGTGGAGCAATTGGTGGAATGAAGATTGGCAGGGGAAACAGTAGTACTCGGAGAAAACCTGCCCCAGCGCCACTTTGTCCACCACAAATCCCACTTGACCAGAACCGGGATCGAACCCGGGCCGCCGCGGTGGGAAGCCAGCTACTAACCGCTTGAGCTATGGCACGGCCAACACCATACGTCTTAGTGAAGCAGTTTTTAGACCTAGAGCCATCTCCATAAGAATTCTTGTGGTAGTTTCGCTTCCTCGACTCTTGATCTGATGGCTACACCGGCATTGATCGGGTGTCGTAGTTTTCAGAAGTAAAAACCAGCAGGATTCTCCCCGATCCTCACAGCATAGCTCATGCATCAAGGGAATGTGACACCGTGTGATGTGACAAATATGCTGACGTTTCGGAAGAACGTATCTCACGGTCGAACCCTTTTCAAGCAGGCCTGGGAACATACTTGAAAGGAGGCTGCCTGTGACGAAAGGCAAAATCCTATTCCGCCCAGAACCATACTCTGATCTACAGTACGAAAACAATCTACTATCCAAACGTGCCATCTTCTGGGATGTGGCGCTGTGTAGATGCTGTATGAACTGATGTTTCGGAAGAACGTATCTCCTCCATCTTCAGGGTAGAAAAATCCGCGAGCGAGGGACCAGCGTCAGCAGGTGGCTGCAGATTGAGTGTGACTCAGTGAGCCACCTGCTCACGCTGGTTCCTCGTTTGTGAATTTTTCTACCTTGAAAATGGAGGAGATACGTTCCTCCGATACGTCGGTTCACACATGATCTACGCAGTGCCACCTCCCAGAAGACGGAATTCTTCCTAGTCACCGCTGTGAAAACTTCAAATCTTACAATCTACAATCCAGTCTGTAAATTTTTAATTTATTTTTCAGACAGATGTCACTTTGTGAGGATGACATGACTGTAGTGGGGATTCCATCAGCTGAGTGAAGCAGACGGCAAATGGAGGTGATTCCATCTACAGGTGGAGGGAGTGGGGCGATGCCTTTCCAGCGGCACAACGTGGAGGAATGGTCGCGCCTGGACAGCCTCACGGGTATGCTGGAGCACGCCAGGGTCGAGTCGGGGCATTGGGCGGCCAGCACTTCCAATAGCAGCCAGCAGTACGGCAAGGTTCGTAAACACATGAACACTCTACTTACTGTCACCACCTTGTTTGCCTATGTCACCAGCGTGTCACCGCGTCTGTCCTCCTGAAGTTCGGGCCAATTAACGGAGTTTCATGAAACGAGGTATTAATATCTTGTCACTATAGACCGTCCCACATTTGAATTTTTAAATTTTCTGCTATCAATAATAGGCCTATGCACCATGTAGACTTGTGAGATGGGACCGCTACTTATTATTAAAGATAAAATTATCCCTGTACCAGGCCGTGAAGGCCCATACGGTTGTGAGACGTTGAGGGTCCCACATTATCTAGACCAGGCATGTCCAACTTCAAACGGGTTCTGATCGACATTTTAGTGTCATAACTGCCAGTGATCTACCACCCCTCCTATCGTCGTACCTCGCTTTAAGCAAAAATATTGGTAAAAATAACACGACACATGATGTTTGTTGTAAAAGCAACATACATTGAAAGTACAGACTTGTTCGTTAGTGAGACGTCTGGGCCTACATTTCATCCACCAGCTGTTGGAAGTCAGGTGAGTACTGGGTGAGGGCCAGTTTCAGGCAGTCCTGGAGATGTTCATCTGTCATGTTGGAACGTGTTTGCTCTTTGACCTTTTTAGGCAAGAAAACGCAGATTCACACAAATAAGTTGAACCGAAACAGGAGTGTACAATTTCACTGCATTTTCTTAAGTTGGGAATTTGTGTCTAGGCACTAACTTCCAAAACGATTCATGTCCAGCACGAGTCTTGAGAAAAATGTCATTTTAAGGGTTAATATCTCATTTTCAAGAGATGCCTTGCTCAATGGGTAATTTTCAGAGATAGTGGCTGCAGTTTTTTTGATGTTTAAAGTGAATTAAAAGTGAATTTACGTGCTTTTCACGTATAATTTCCTTATAGACCTATGAGATCGACCAAAAATCGTCCCGCAATTGACCGGTCTATCGCGATCGACGCGTTGGACATGTCTGGTCTAGACAATTGGCTCACAGATGGCGGTGAGGCTGTCAGCTTTAAGCGCCGGCCTCCCTTTACCCCCAGGAAAATTCCTTGTGCTCATTTCTGTAGAGACTGGGTCGACCCCAGGGCCATAGTGCGGCTGGAAGGATTAGGTAAACTGAAATATCCACCTCATCGGGAATCGATTGCGAGACCTTCCGGCTTGTAGCATAGTGCCTCAACCAACTACGCTACAGTGTGTCCCCACTACTTAGTGTTAGGTGCTGAAAATTTTTGTTTGAAAAGTACAAAACTCATGTTAATTAATTCTGTAGAAAGTAAAGTAAGAGGTGGATATCCGGCTTAAGTAAGTAATTAGTTTTTGATTTGATAGCGATAATTCATGGATCACTGGAGGTCAGCGTATGAAACGTGAGCCTACATGGACGTATAGCTTATATCATGATCATATCAGTAAATTCTATGTGAAATAATTTTATGTTACCAATTACAAATATGAAAATTGTACAATATTTGACGTTAGAAGGTAAATTTATCCCAGGGCTTAATTGTTTAAGCACCACGTCATGAAGAAGTATGACGGAGTGGAGGTATAGCTCCATCATTCTTAACCTCGACACTAGATAGAGGGGAGTGGTCAGCTTCAAGTTCCTTCCGCTTTACCACCAGGGAAAGAGCCCCCGACGCCCATATGCATAAGAGGCTGGGTGGGTTCCTGAGTCGGTCTAGACGTTATGGAGAAGAGAATATCCCTTGCCCTTCCCGGGAATCTAGCTTCGGTTCCTCGGTCATCCAAATCGTAGCGGAGTCGTTATACCTGTTGAGCTGTACTGGCTGTATTTATGACGTCATATTTGGTAAATTTATTGTAGTGGGAATCTGTAAGTATTGCTTAGAAATATGAGCAGAAATAGACCAGTGAGTGCTTCGATCAGCATCGTAAGCATTATGTCTTTACACGCTTGGTACACCTAATGGACTTCCAAGTCATAAATATTTCGTAGTGTCGATAATAAAGAACTCGATGGGGCAGAATTCTTCTTGAGAATCCAACAGTCGCTAAGCTAGTCAAGATATTCCCCGCCCTTTATGGAAATCAGAGAACTGTTACTGTGGTCACAGGAGACTTTCTTTTGTCCCATTTACTGAGTCAGACGGCTCCTGCCCACTCTCCTCTTATTTCCTTACCATCCACTTTAATATTATCTTCCCATGGCCTTGGTTTGCCATGTAAGCGCTCCCTCCAAATTTTCGTATCAAAATTCTTTATTCATTTCTCGTATCTACCATACGTGTCACATGCCCTGTGCAGTACCAGAACACAGGCTCGAACAGGGCGAGAAATGCAGTGTTAGAAGAGGCGTGGGACTGGTGATCTGACAGTGCAGCGCACTGGTCCCAATTAAAACCGGACTTCGTGCAACGTACACTTATCTTGATCGCTCCTGTAGGTGCCAGGCTGATGAAAGACTTTGCAAACAAGAGACATGGTTAAACATTTCGCATAGAGCCATATGCACTTGTTCCAAGTGACTACGAGGGCTTTGTGTGAAGTATGGTCTCTTAAGCCTTTACACTCGAAGTTAACCACAGAGAGCATTTATGAATTGAATCTTGCAATAAAAAAAAACAATCTGAACACGTCAGTAAGAAGTCCTACGTGAAAATGGGACGACGGTAATAAATCAAAACAATAAAAGGTAAAGTTTTCCCTGTGCTTAACTTATTAAGCACTACGCCATAATGGCATATGGGGAAATGGATGTATAGATCCACATTTTCCTGAATTCAGCACTCGTTGAAGGTGTGTGGTCCGGTTCACACCCCGGCCGTTTTACACCCGAGGAAAGAGTCCCCGTTACACATTGGTTAGGAGGCTGGGTGGGCCCCAGAACTGGTCTGGAAGACGTGAAGAAGAGGAAATTCTTGACCCTACCGCGACTTGAACTCCGACCCCTCGGTCGTCCAGCCTGTAGCCAGTCGCTATACCGACTGCGCTAAACCGGCTCAAAATTCAAAACAGTATCCATTCTTAAATAACCGATTACAGTTGTTCCGCTAAGATACTAGGATCGTGATTTCGAATCCCATTTGCTACATGGATGTACGCCCGACATCTTGCTGTGTTTATGTTTCCCTGAGCAGGAACGGGCCTGGAGGCGGGCCGATTCCCTATCTAAGGAGTCCTACACAAAGACCATTCCGACACCAGCAAATTCAGAAGCCTTGGACAGCCATGCCATGCAATAATAATTCAATTCAATTCAATTTTTTATTATTTATGTGCCGAGTCAACAGCCGCAAGGCCAATTACAGACAGAGCACAGTGTAGATAAAAGTAATTACATTATACACAAACACACTATAAAGTCAGAGACAAACTACAGGCAAGCACTGGAGGAAAACACAATATTTTAGAAAAGTAAACAAACAAACAAATGATAATAATAGCAATAATAATAATTTCATTAACATAAATCTAAGTGTTATTAAGAACTGAGAAATGAAACATATAAATAATAATACTAATAATAATTCGGGGAGACTTGCAGACATTCAATGCAGAAACGTTTCTCTTCCCATCAAGACCAAAATATCAAGATATGCAAAGTTAAATTTTACATTTTGTTTCGTAAAGGCGTGACTCTGGGTCACTTCCTTGAAACGGAAGAAGACAGTCTGAAAGCAAGTGCTGAAGGAAGTGCGTAACATTAACTCTGCGGCAAGCGCAGTTAGTGCCACGGTATGTATGCAGCATATAATGCGAATAGGTTAAATGAGAAGTAAATACGAGTATAGAAATTTTTGCTGAAATATCTCGAAAGGAATAGATCACAATAAGATCTATGTGAGGATGGGAGGATTTTTTTCTTTTTTGTTGCTAGTGGGGTGGGACTAAGTCCCTTGTACTGCGGCCACTTCTGGCCTATTGTACCAGCCCTAGATTATAGGTGAGGGTGATTGTGGCGCAATTGGTGGAATGAAGATTGGCAGGGGAAACCGAAGTACTCGGAGTAAACCTGTCCCAGTGCCACTTTGTCCACCACAAATCCCACTTGACCAGACCCGGGATCGAACCCGGGACGCCGCGGTGGGAAGCCAGCGACTAACCGCTTGAGCTATGGCGCGGCCCAAGATGGGAGGATAATATTAAAATTAATCTTTCAGAAATACAATGTGATTATGTAAACTGGTTGAACTGGTTAAGGATAAAGTCCAGAGGTTTTTATGAACTCACTACTGAATTTTCGAATTTCACAAAGCAGAACATTTCTTGTACTGGGTATGTCTATCGCTTTTCAAGGAAGATCCTGAGCATGTGATTGTGTTGCATCATGCGTCTGGACTCAAACATCCTCAAGATGTGTTCTTGGAACTCATGAATTTGAAAAAACCACATGCTTCGGAAATCAGAGACAATTGCTGTGCAGTACTCCTCTGACTTCTTAAGAAACGAGGACATTGTGCAGAATGAAAGAAATCGAAAAGAAACGAGAGTGATTATGTAAGTGGTGAACTGCAACGCTCTAGTAGTCGCCAGGCTGACACACTGAATATGCACGTTAGAGAACAATGACAGTGAGTACTGCCTAATCGCATTAAGCTGTCACACTTTTCAGACTAGATTAAAAATGATCAGTTATCTTTAATGTTGGGGGCACGCGGTAGTGTAGTTGGTTGAGGGGCTATGCTACAAGCCGGAAGGTCGCAGATTCAAGTCCCGATGATCAATGGATTTTTTTTCAATTGACCTACTCCTTCTAGCCGCACTATGGCCCTAGGCTCGACTCAGCCTCTAACAGAAATGAGTACCAGGAATTAATTAAATAATTTTCATGGGGAGTAAAGTGCGGCCGAAGCGTAAGGCTGACAACCTTACCGCCATCTTTGAGCCGATTGTCTCGATAATGTGGGACCCTCAACGTCTCACAACCCTATGGGCCTTCACAGCCTGGTACAGGGATAGCTTTAGTATTTTTTTTATCTTTAATGTTAACATGTACGTCGGAGTTTTATCGGGCTTGAGAGTCACAC